AACGAGCGACGGCTAAAACCTTCTGAAGGTCACTCAGGAGGGTGACCTTGACAATATATGTCAAGGTCAAGGTCATCGGGGCTGCATCCCCTAAACGTCACTTTTACCCCCCTTGATACCATACAACTTTTACTTCAAACATTTCTTCCTATCTCCAAAACTGTGGGAGTTATTCGGGTGACCGGTCTTAAGTGATTCACCTTTGTATATAATCATATATATATCTATATATAATTATATGAGGGCAATTTTTCTCACTTCTTCAAATTTCCCTTTTTTCTAAAAAAAAAAAAAAAATGCGAAAATTATATTTCTAATTATTTTTCAATTATTCTTCTTATTATTTTTCTTGTACATACAGATAGAGTTATATAAGACAAAAAGAATAAATATAAACATATTTTATATATAAATTGTGATTGCTATGTGATTGTGCAGTTGAAATACCGTATAGCACGGATGACGGATGAGGAAATCGCATGAGTGGAAGCGACCGCGATGGAAGCAAATGCGGTTCATCGCGCCTTATTTGTCGTTCGTTGTTCAAAAGGAAGCCGCATTCGATTTATTATTCATCGATGCTCGCTACCTCGTCTTTTTGCAGGTTAAAGAAGACATGGCGATATTGGCGAAGCATCACGGCGTCGGTAGCTTCAAGATGTTCATGGCTTATCGCGACATGTTTATGCTCAGAGACCCGGAGCTGATCGAGGCTTTCAAGGCGTGCAAAGAGATCGGCGCCGTAGCTATGGTACATGCGGAGAACGGTGACCTTATCGCGGAAGTACGTAGAGATGATGATACCAATATGTATGATTGTTTAGGATCAATTTCACAATTTTGTCTTTATTAGTCAAGAAATTAAATTTTGTTTAAATTTTGTCTTTATAATTCTGATTACTGATTTCCGCTTCCGCTTCCACTTTCCACAGCCTACGAGAGCCTGCTTCAAGATTATCAGATTCTATTGGTTTGATAAACAGCAGTAATTAGATTTATCGTGATTTAACTGATATTAAATGAAAGCTTTTTCTTTTTATAATTGCTATAGAAAGATTGTAGTTTATAATTAGTTTCTTGTGAAAAAGACAGAATAGAAAATAATTATTTAGAATTTTGTTGTGTGTGTGTCATAGCATTTGTGAATAAAACTTAAAACTGAAGAACTAAGAATAAAAATTATAAAACTTAATATTTTTACAATATCTTTTTTACGTATTTTTTTTTGTTTTCTGAATTTTAATTCTATTGTATTGCCTAAAGGCCTAAATTATATTTGTACTGGAAAAGTTAAAAAAAATATTCAGAATAAGTTAAACTATACATATATAAAAATAAATAAAAATATATAGTAACAATAAAATATATAATAAATATATAGTAACAATAAAATATATAATAAATAAATTTTTGCTTATGACAATACAAAACATAAAAATAACTTTCTATATTATAATTTCAAAATTATTCTACAATCATTGAATAATGGAACATGAAAAGAAAGTTGAGCAATAAAATTGATGTATGATTTGAAAGTTACGTTGGACAGCGGAGGATGAAGATATTCGCGTTATTTGTAATAGAATGTTAATATAAAATATAATATATAAGCATTTTTCTTATCGCCATAAACTTGTTACAGAATGCCAAGAAACTACTCGCCGCAGGTGTGACAGGTCCAGAGGGCCACGAAATGTCACGGCCTGAAGAAGTTGAGGCAGAGGCTGTTAATAGAGCGTGCGTTATCGCGAATCAGGTAAGCGGAATGCTAATCTGAATATTATCATTGTTGAGCATTAATATTTCTTTATCAATTTCGTATATAGTCGTACTTCGTTATCTATTTTTATATTATACTTTACTTTGTCCTAAGCATACATGCAAGTCTTTTATCCGTTTTCGATGTTCTGTCACGAATGCACTTGGCACGCTACCCGCCACGGTATTCAGTTCACGAACGATCATAAATCTCTAGATTAGAATCCAGGACAAAATAAAGCATAGCGCACTGCTTTGCTATGTGGCATATGCCCAATTCTCAGTGTGTATAAAATTTCATTCTCTGTCTTACCAACATCAAGGAATATCTGTGTCATGCGATAAAGTTTGACAACACATGTTATTTTCTAGAATTTTTTTTCTTCGAACTTCAGCTTTTTCTCTTCCTTTCTTACCTTGCTTTTTAATTTTTTTTTTTTTACTTAAGGAGACTAATGACACAAGCAGGCAAAAATGTATTCATTAGGCACCATCGTCTAACTTTCTCAGTAGTCGTACTAGTATCGAAATTTTGCTTAGGTCAATTGTCCGCTGTATGTAGTGCATGTGATGAGTCGTAGCGCTGCCGAACAAGTGGAAGCCGCGCGTAAACGCGGCGTTTGCGTCTTCGGCGAGACCTTGGCGGCAGCAATCGGCACGGACGGTACCAAGTATTCGCACAAGTGCTGGAGATTCGCCGCCGGCCACGTTATAAGTCCGCCACTTAGACCAGATACGGATACACCGCGAGTACTTGTGAACATGTTGATCAAGTGAGTCGAAACTAACTAAAGCCATGAATTCAGGATGACTTTGACATCGGGAGCAGGCTAGAACATAAATTTATTATGGATCTATTTGCGTATAAAGTCATTTTATAAGTACTTGATACGTAAACAAACAGATTTGAGGATTCACGATCATTAGCAATTCAGAAATACATAAATTACAAGCTAAAATGAATCCTTTGAAGACGGTAGGATGTATATATACGTTTCGAGATTTTTTTCAAAAGACGGCAAACATACATATATTTAAATTTGAATTTTTGGGGGCTCATATATTTAAGTTTAGTTTTAAACTTTCATCGATAGATGTCGCATTTTTCGCTCGTTTTCCTCCTAAATTTTGAAGGTTTTTAAAAATGGAGTTAATTTGGTGACTTCAAAGTTCAATCGATAAGAGAAATTATCAATGCAGCAAATTATCAAAGCATATGAAATTAATTGGAACCGGAGGAAGAACAAATGCAGGAAAAAAATCGAAGAGACTTATTGATAAACATTTCCCTTCTCTTGTGCAATCTAAGCCTGGTAAAAAAAGAAAAGACAAAAATGTATTGTTTGTAGCCAGTCAGTGAGAAAAGAAAAGATCAGAGTCAAGGTATGAACGTGTAGAGTATAATTTTGGTCCCTGTGTAACTAATTGCTTCAACTCATTTTAATGCTTTAACTCATTTTTAATGAAAAGTATATTTTTCAAAATTAGCCGTTTTCAAAGGGTTAAATGAAGTTAGTATAAATTGTTAGTTGTGACTGTTTAAATATACATCCCTCAGTTATCAGACATTCCTAAACGGTGAAACTTTTGCCAAATGGTTTCTTACTCGCAAGAATGTTGTCGGAAAATACTGTCATTCGAAATCGACGTAATTAGCACGTGTCAACCGGCCGTGCTTTCTATTTAAAAGTAGTAACGCACCGACCAGTTTTTTCCTAAACGACTAAGCAAATACCATGAGGGAAAATGTTGGATTCATAGAGAAAATCTCGAATAGAGAAACTAAATGTTCTTGTTCACGAATTTATCGTAAATTATATCTATTATATCGCTCGAATATATCTTCCAAAATAACGTGGATGCGCATATGCATTCGATGTAAAGTATCGATTATACTGACTCTTATCTCATTTCGCGCTCTCCCTCGCACTTTCTATTTAGCCGATTAGCGAAAATAGGTTGCAATTGCGGCAATAGCAATTTAAGTTTATACGTTATCCTGCTAGAAGCTTGCGTGACATACGTACAAACTGCATAAAGTGCAATTATGTCTTTGTCCATTATTGCGTACACTGAAATTTATTTTGCGGTTTTGCACGAGACAAAAATCTACTTGCATGCATATTGAAAGTAAATATTATTACTTTTGTTTTCTCCTTGTTCTTTTATTTTTATGCATTAAATACGTCTGTATTATACGTAGTAGCACAATTCACTCTCATAGTTATTTTTAACGGTATTTTTAATGTTACGCGTTAGATGTTTGGAAATGATTCTATAAAGTTAATGTAGAAAAGAAGTGTTAATATAAAATTTGAAAAATTGTTATAGATAAATCGAGCACGGCTGAAAGATTTTTTTACTTGAACTTGATGTATAATTACATATTAATCCATTAATTTTTATTGCTATTCTTTTCTTTCATTAAAAATTTATATTTAACAAATAAAATTTAATAGTAGAAATTCAATTTATTTTTATCATCAATGATATTGAAGATACGAAAATATTCAGGTTTTTTAAATATACACAAAAATAAGATACACGTGCGCATGTCTGGGTGTATATGTGTCTACTTAAGAACATAATTCTATACATATATGTATATTCGAGACAATTTAATTAAATTCCCCGGACTAGTAGGAGCTAAACGTGCGGATGGTAATGCGTGAGTTCCAAGAAAAATTAATTTTTCTTGATGCGATATCAAGTGATTAAATAAATCTCATTTCGAGATATATTTTTAATACCCCCCTCTCCTCCCAAAATGAAAAAAATCAATTTTCCTTGAAGTACGCACTTTTTGATTCGCATCTGGCTCTTACTAATCCGGGGAATTGAAATTATATTTTGCATGAAAGCCGTATTACATGTTTTATTTACATTCTAGACACTCGTGTTACATTAAAATTTTTTAAATAGAAATATTTTCTTAAGAACATGGGTCATAATAATAATATACTACAATATAATATAATAAAATATAATATAATAATAATATAATAACAATAAAATAAAAATTGTCACAAATATTTATAATTTCATATAGAATATATTAAACTTTTAGCTATAAATTTTGATGTAAAACACTTTCAGCTGTGATGCGTTTTATCTAAGTATACAGAATAAAAAGAAAGAAAGAGAGCACAGATTAGTTTAGTGAGAGGATAAAATATCGCGTTTAGGTAAATAGTCCGCTGTATGTAACGGCGATCTCGAGCAAGTCGGCCGCCGACATCTTGTCGGCGAAACGGTCAGAGGGTATCGTCGTTTTTGGAGAAACCCTGGCAAGCACCGTCGGTATCGATGGTAGCGAGCAATATGGTAAAGATATGGAAAAAGCGAGGCGTCTCATTACTAACCCGCCGTTGCGGCCCGATCCGACAACACCTGCTTATCTAATCGAGCATCTGGCCCAGTAAGTAAATTGTACAGAGAACATCTTTGTTTATATACATAACAAACGGACTAGTTTCCGCTTTACTATCATTTAATTGCATTATTTACATATTAACAGCTATATGAATATTTCGATATTCTTCATTGAAGAGAAATTTATTTCCAATTGATCAAAGATATATGAAAAAAAGATTATTTATTGATACATTATTTATTATTTTCTTTTCCATATATAGTCGCACATTATATTAACCAATTTATGTTGGGCCGAATTCTTAGGCTGTTTCTTCTCGATTTAACTTTGATGATGAACTCTTGGATCTGTGGTACTCAGGAGTATTTTTACCTTCGATTTACACAGAAATGGCCGAGTCTTTCTAATCGACTATTCTCCCTAACAAAAGTTTGTACAAAAGGATTTTGACATCATTAAGCAAAAAAAAAAGACCAATATATCTCTGATTACACAGACCTGCAAAATTGAAGTCATAAAAGTTTTTTTAAGTATATGTATGCTGGTTTTATAGGAATTTGGTATTCTAAATCTAAAAATGTATGTCACCTCAGATCTATTCCATCACGTATATTTTTTTCACAATTTGCTTTGACGTTTTTACGTTATAATATGTGACTGAAATTAGTAGTGAAAAATTACCACATGAAATCTATTTCGTGGCCAGTCTTGAATATATTTATTAAAAAAAAAAAAAACTATAAAAGGCATACTTTTAAAACCATAAAGAGGCATACTTGTTCCGATTGTGCAAAAGAATAGATGGGTGGAGTTCCGAATAGGTGAACCCTCCGAAAAAAATCGGAGGGTTCACCTATTCGGAACTTTATCCGAATAGATTGTAGATTTCTTTTAGAAGAGTCGATGAAAAGTCTCCATTCATCCGCTTTGTATACTCATTATCAGTGCCAAATTTCTGTGTTAAACTATCAATATAGTAAATTAAATCATCCTTCTGTGAAAAATAGAGAATAATTTCATTTTCTCTGCTTGTACGAGTATACAAATATATCAATGTTCCAGTTGCTAACAAATTTTTTCTTTTAATCTGATCTAAGAGTTCAGCAGAATCTTTGGGTAATCCTAAATCTCTCACTAAATCGTTTAGATCAGATTGAGTAAACGAGTGGAGGTTTTGATTTCCTATATCGTACTGAAATTCTTCATGATCAGTATCTGAACCAGGATTACTAGGCGGATCTTCCAGTATTTGGTAGAAGTATATGGTAGAAGCAGAACTGGAATTTCTAGGCCATAAGGAACAGGTCGAAAAGCTGATGGGAGATTTGGATAGAATATGGCTTTCTTATTTTTTTAGTCATAGCCTTTAACATCACAAGAGCAAAAATAGCAGCCGTCACAGTGATTTTTTGGCTCTCTCTATTGACATACCAAATCGGAATGCTTTCTTTTTGCCCTTAGACCACTTTCTTAGATCCTCTACGCAAATAAAATAAACTTTGTATGGCGCCTAGTTTGCCTTGGTCTATTGGTTTTACTCCAAAATAAGAATGATACACTTTTCTAATAAAAGATGTAACGTTCTTTAATGTTTCTTGATCACAAACTTCTCACAAATGTAACAAAAATTACTCAAAAGATCGAATTTGTGAAATTGTTTGTGGTAAGATTTTTTATTGTGCTTTTGAATTCGGCATTCAAAAATATATTAAAAACAGTTAAAATATTGAAGAAAGTTTTTTTTATCGCAGACCTGTGTCATCAGCGAGTGCAAATCGGAAACAAACATGTCAGGAGTTTATTTTATATATATATCTTTTGTAATTTATTTTTTCGAAAGTCTAATTTTTTTATATGAAACTTATTATTTTTATGATATATTTATGAAATAATTTATCTCTTAATAAAAATGGCCTACTGAAGTAGAAAATATGCAGTGTTTTTTAAAGAGTAAGGTAGTGTCAACTGCTTCCGACGAATTTTCTTTTAATGAGAAGAATATTATAATAGTTTTAAATTATCAATATAGTTTATTTTTTTAACAAAATGAAATGTGTTTGGAACATTAAAAATTATTTTTTATCATAAAAACGCATATCGTATTGTCCAAAAATAGCACAGTCTCTTGTCCTTGCAAATAAATAAATTTTTTTAACAGCTATAAAAATTTTTTTTTATAATTCTTAAGGTCTAAACTATAGATCCATAAAGGGATTTTTCTTCAAAAAGTTATAAATGTTTATATATCGGATATCAATTTTTACGAATTTTTTTTAAAATTGATAAAAATAAATTATTTAAAAATCTTTTTTTCTTAAATAAGTTATAGGATGTATTAGTAGAAACTGTAAAGGAGAAATGTCTAAATGTTTTCAAAATTTTTCTAATACTTTAAACTTAAGTATATTGAATTTGATGGCTACAGACCCAAGGATTCATTATTGCGATGCCCCAAATACGGTTTCATTATTAGGATTAATAATCGCGTTATTTTGCATACCTCACATGCACGTCCATTTTTGCAGCGATGAATTACAATAACAACTTGACACGAATGACATAAGCATAACTCGTAGTCTTGATATTAATAGCCGCGATGTGGGAAGTCACTTATATACTCGTACAATACAGAGCGTTAATGTTAATTAATACACAGATGGAGGAAAAACAGCTGATTTAAACAGCCCTCTTTTAGTTTTTAATCATTCAATGTAATTTTATTTTGTATTATTAATTTCAATTACTTTAGCCTACTCGATGTCAAGGTAATCGCTTAATACTTGGTTCTTCTTCTGAAATCATCCTCGTTCGATTTTCACAGATGTGCACTAATACGGTCATTTTTCAGAGATACTCTCCAAGTCATCGGCAGTGATAATTGCACGTTCAATTCCGAGCAGAAAGCTCTGGGTAAAAACGATTTCACGAAAATCCCTAACGGCGTGAACGGTGTCGAGGACAGGATGACCGTGCTCTGGGAGAAGGGCGTGCATGCCGGAATAATGCATCCCACGCGATTTGTTGCAGTCACTAGCACGAATGCCGCCAGGATCTTCAACTTGTATCCTCGAAAGGGAGTCGTAGCCGTCGGCTCGGACGCTGACATTGTCGTCTGGGACCCCAACAGGAAGCGCACCATTTCCGCTCAGACCCATGTCCAGGCCGTTGACTTCAACATCTTCGAGGCGAGTTTAATTAAGTCGTCCGCTTTTGGCGAGAAGTGATAACTGCGACTTGATATGCGATTTACTACTAATGCGTTGTAAATGAACGTTTACGATGTGAAATACGCGGCTTAAGTTTATGTTCTTAATGCTTCGCATAATTCTTTCAAGAAGAAAGTGTATTATAGAAAGTCACTCCGCTTCAATCGCAATTATAAAAATATCTTACACAAATGCAATTTAATTATTTAATTAATATTCAATTATTAATACAGGGTATGGAAGTAACTGCCGTACCTGAATATGTGATTGTCAATGGACGCGTATGCGTGGATGAGTGTGAGCTCAAAGCTGTTCACGGCTTCGGAAAATATATAAATACGGAGCCATTTGGCACTTATGTGTACGACATGATAAACGATAAGGAAAAGGTATAACATACAATATACTAGGTGTTAAAAAAGGGTCATATTATACTACAATATTACTTACTTTCAAAATATGTGATGACCTTTTTTTTTTAACATCCTGTATAATTTTCTAATTTTCTTTTTTCTTCCTTTTATGGCGCTATTTTTTATAGACGCGTTATTTTTAAATATTAATGTATTAAAGTAACTACATTATTGAACTAAATTTAAGAATTAATTGTTTGGAATAAAAATTAATGTGTCATTTAAAATTTATAATTGAAATTGAACATTGCAAATGAATTGCTATTGAAGAAACCACGTGGTGTCGCACGAACCGAAGCGGAGGCTAAGAGATACGCGGAGGAAGACGCCGCGATCGCGAAGGCTAAGGAAGAGGCGAGAGCGGCCGCTGCAACCGCAGCCGCAGCTGCAGCACGAGCTGATCATACCAACGGTTCACTTGACGTACCTGTGTACCTGTGTACCTTGCCGACCTCTGCCGTAATGACGCCATCTACGAAAGGTCCGAGACACGAAGGTCAGAGAAACATGCAAGATTCTACTTTCTCCATCAGCGGTGAGTTTTACGATCAATAATTTTAAACTTTCATACACACACACAGGACACATATATTTTCTGGTGACTTTATACTAATATAAATAAAGAAATACTAAATTTTGTTCGAGCTTGATATTATACATATATTAATCGCGGAAAATACATCACTTTTATCTCACTTGCTTATTTCTTTATATTATAGGAATATAAGTGAATTCTCTATTCTTGCAGAGGAAACTCTCGAAGAAGGACGAAGGGCATGCATTCGTGTGAATAATCCACCGGGTGGCCGCAGTGCGGGAGGCTTTTGGTAATTTATACAAAAAAAGAGAACATCAAGATTCGCTTTATATATAAAGGTCACTTAACGCGAGAAAGGAATATTTATCCTCTTTCTTCCTTCCTTCATCTATCATATACATACATATATACATATGCTTTATTCATTTCGAAGAGTACCAACCCGCGCTTTCAGGTTCGCTACTCACCAAATATTGTTCTAAATTCAGTCATTTTTTCACACTGTATTCCCATCGATCAAGGTCTGTTCCATCGAAGGAGGATGCAGAGGTTGCTGGCCAGTAGGTTGTATGTTCTCATATATTCATATTAATCGTTCCACACTCGCTTTATTATCATTTTAGCATCGCACTGTATCACTAGCATATCTGAATCATTGGTCTTGATACATTCTCCGATTTCTACATTCGAAATTTCATCTGTTTCGGTTCTTTGATAACGTTTATATCAATATAAGTTTTCTTTAAAATCACTTTCGTTATTTTCACTTGAAAATTTATTTATTGTTACATACATAAAGACGTATATATATATATATATA